GTGTGCGTGTGTGCGTGTGTGTGTGTGTGTGTGTGTGTGTGTGTGTGTGTGTGTGTGTGTGTCTGCGCGCGCGTTTGCGCGCGCGCGCGTGCGTGTGTGTGCGCGTGCGTGTGCGTCGGGAGGGGGTGTTGGTGTGTAGGTGTGTGGGAAGGAGGTTGTGCGCGTGAAAGCGAGTGCGTGTGTGCAGGTGCGTGCGTGTTGCACATGAGTTTGTTCCAAGGTGTAATGCAAGCGGATTTGCATGCGAATGGCCCCAGCAACGTGCCCTGCCGGCATTGCGCAAGACCTTTTGATTGGCACCGTGACGCATGAAAACAAACAGCCGACACTCCTTCCCCTGCCCAGGCCCACCGCGAGGTACTGCCCGACCGCTAGCAGGGCCAGCGTGTGGCGCCTGTCCTCGTAGGCGGCGTCCCGCGCGTACTTGTCGCAGACTATGAACACCGCCTCGGCATACTCCACCTGGGTGCGCTCCAGGTCCTGGATATGAACCCAGGAGGGTAGTTTGTTCGGCGCCGTTCGGACAGGCCTGACGTTTTCCGCAGGCACGTGGCAAGCGCTTCGCGCTCAGGAAGTGCTGGGTCGGCACAGCGAGCGGTCAGAGGCGCGGGGCGAGGTCAAGAGAAGAGGGCTGGACGCGTGGGTCGAAAGACGCACCAGGGGCCGGAAGGGCGTGCCTTGGAGGTACGTCATCTTGGCGGCGTGCTGGTGCGTCATCAGCACGCGCCGCGTCGCGAGGCTCGGCGGCAGCGGCGCCAGGAACACCGCGCGGCGGTCGTCGAAGCCCTTATCTTCGTGGTACACCTGAGACGACGCGTGTTTGGGGGGGGCGGGTGGTTGAGCGTGTGGAGGGGGCGCACAGATGCTGGGATGCCCCAGTTCGTGCACTCAGGGGGTGGGAGCTCATGCAAACGAGTGCATGCGTGTGCTTGATGTGCTGTGTGTGGGGAAAGGTGGGGGCATGGGCAGCGTTGCTGAACGTTTCACAAGGCATGGGATGCTGCATGCCTTTGCAGGTGCCCGCCGGCACCTGAGCGGCCCTAGAGCTGCTGCGGCGCGCTGCAGCGACCCCAGGATGCTGCAACCGTCCTGGCTGACGGCAAAAGCACCACCCGCAACAGCAGCACTAGCTGCAGCAACAGCAGCAGCCAGTGGGCTCACTGCCACCATCCAGACCCCCCCCCCCCACACACACACATACGCGCGCGCACACACACACACACACACACACACACACACACACAC